CCCCCCCTCCCCTCTCTCTCTCATTTTCATTCTCGGCGCTCGACCAACACAACACAGTACCTCTTGCACCCCTCACCCGTCAACGTTTCAGAAAGTGTGCAACCTCCCCAAAGTCTGGGTCGGGTTGCGGGTTACCCGTAGACTTATTCCTTGAGAATTGCTTGCTACAGTGGGGGTGACGTGGGGATCACCTCAGAAAAGTCATCTAGTAGCGAAAGTCTATCATGGAATATTGCTTTTTTCACAGCCGATCCCCCTTCTTTCACAACCAATCCCCCTTCTTTCACAACCGATCCCCTCGTTGCTGCGAAGGAAAAGTTGGGTGCCGCTCCTGTGTTTTTTTTTTCTGCTCTCCGAGTCTCTCCTAACGGTGCGAGTCTCCAATTTTGCTCGCTGTTTCTGGTCGGGTTTGCGTGGCCCTGCACGGTGGAACTGCAACAGGCGGATGCTCTTGAGTCCGAACGCGCAGCAACGGAGGCGTTTCTGCAGCCCTTGCAGTCACAGCTCAGAGATCTCGAGGATCAGGTGAGAGCGATGTATCTACGTACAATACAGGGATCCTACAGTAGTACCTCGCTGTAGTAGAGACAATGTCGTTTCCTACGACAGATAAACGCGCCGGTCATTCAATGCATGTTGTGCGTCAAAAATCGCCACACAACAGGTGTGTGGTGTACGAAATCATCTTCCAAGAATTTCGAAATATTCACGCGCTCACACTTCCTTCCCCGATGCCAGGGACGTGATTCATGTTGCGCCGCCTCGTTGCTCTTCTTCGAACCAACATGATGTACCGTCCAATGGTTGTGTGCTTTTTCCTTTTTCGTGGGCGACGGGCGCGGTATCTCTCTCAGCTGAAGGAGTCGTCGATGAAGATCGCCGGAGTGAAGGCGGGAATCTCGGCCAACGACAAGAAGATCAACAGCTTGCTCAAGATGATGGTCACCTCTTAGACTCTAGACAATTTAGCAGAGACCCAAGAGCGAAAGTCAACAGTTTGTTCAAGATAGTGGTTGCCACACTTCATAGTCTTGCGGAGGAAGAAGGAGAAGCAGAAGAAGAAGTGAACAGCAGTCAGTCGTCTACTCGATCGGATGAAGGCCCCACGTGCTAGTACCCCTTCTAGAGATGGTGCGTGTGTGTAGTGTGTTGGTGCAAGTGTTATTGAAACGAGAGCCTCAAACAGGACGCATAAATGGGTGTAGGTCTAGTGTACGAAGTTTCTCGACAAATGTTCGGGCAGTTTTGAGAAACACGTACAGTATCTGTTATCACCACTGGACCTACGCCCTTACCTCGAGGGAGGGGGAAACTCAATCGCTCACTCGCTTGTGGCCTATGGTGTTATCACGACAAGGACAACGTAGGAGGGAGAGCCACAAAGATCGTCGTGGCTATCGACGTGTACGTAACGTCGGTGGTTGATGACGTAGCTTGAGCGGTGATTCGATCCTTGTACGAGTGGGAGGTGTTTCGTTGCGGCAGACTAGACATCGGAACAGCTTGTTCCCAAGCAGTCCCTGTTGCGCAGCAAGCAGTCGTACACGAGGGAGGGTAATTCCGTGTTCCAACTGCCAATGTGTTCAGGCGCGCGACGTGAATTTCGTTATTTGACTGTCAGCGAGTGTTTGGTTCCCGACCGATGCTGTCGTGTCGACCACTAGGGGCCATGAACACAACCGCTTGTGTTGTGTTTTACGTGATTTGCCCCAGACGTGAGATGGGGAAGGAACGAAGCGCCAAATGACCCACCGCACTCGACCATACCACGATGAATAAAACTCCGCTGGCGGTGGCAACCGTGTCACCTGAACCTAGGCTTATGTTATCGTCTGGGTGCGTTAGTTTATCGTCAGCCTTCCTTGAAGCAGACGGACGGGCTTGCTTCATTCCGGTGCTTGTTAACACTAACTGGTGAGTATGGCCTTGTTGTCACCTCGTTGTCGTTCGTGTCGACATGGGACACCAGGAGATCGTTGGGATACACCCGCCACAAACCACGACACGCTGAAAGAGGGATGCTTACGTCGTGAGTACTGCGTCCGCGGCGTTTCCGTGCCAGCTGTGTTGCGTCGTCAGGACAACCAATGGAATCGACGGAATTTTCTTCTTCAGCATTCTGCGGAATATGTGCACTGTCAGAGGCCCGTCGTATCATCTCATGTGTGGACTTGCTTCGGCTTCAGCCGATAAATTCATGTCGCAGAGACAAAACATCAATCTGTTGGATCCGTGCTCGTAAGTACATGGGCTCTTCCTTCCAGCACCTGCGCCTGCGCCAATACGATACACCATGCCCCGGCCAAAAAAAAAAAGGCAAGGAGGCGGCAAGACGCTGATCATACCATACCGTACGGGTATTACTACTCGAGCGTAAACAAACCAGACGAAAAATAACAACTTTCCGCACCACGGACGTCCTCAAAACATAGCGCAGAAAATGCAGCTCCTCGGCATGCGTTCAGGCTTGGTGCCCTCCTTCGCCGCCTCAAGTCCTCTCGTATGAATACAATCCTACCCTTATTACGACACCCTAAGCTCACTGTGCCATGTATTGGCGACTGCTTACAAACTGTTCCAGGGCACTGATCTGGGCCCCCCCGCACGACATGAGAAGTCGTCCGAAGGACAAGTACAACCCATGAGGCATAAATACGCACCCCCCCGGCACCCTCTATTTTGACCATTCTTCTTCCAGCAGACATGACACGTGCCACGAAATCCCAGCACACATGGGGACCCCCTATTTTACAGGTTGTGCTCGAAACGGCGGGGCCGAAAAAAAAAAATAAGCACACACAACGGACAACATGTGCTGCGGGAAACAGCCAGGATATTGAAAACCATCCGCAGGACACAATTATTCCGCGAACTATTCCAACTACAAGACGACAGTGTATGTCGTGATTTGAGGAAACGCCAGCGCGATCGTACAATCGCGCCGCCGAACCGGAAGATACACTATCCTCTCCAGCAGTTTCTATGCCAAGGTGTCGCCGGTAGCGCCACCAATCACCTTGGTCCCTCCGCCCACCCCATCATCGCTGCTGCTGCCGTAGTCCCTTACCCCCATCATGAGCTGCATGCCGCCCCCGTTGTCACCTTTTTGCTGCAGCAACCCGTCGTCGGCCGCCACGACTCCGTAGCGGTCGGTCTTCCCCCCCTTCCAAAACGCCTCGGAAAAGGTTACCCACCTCACCGCCAACGCGGCGCTGGCAGCACCAAGGGCCCAGCCAGCAACCACGTCGTCCTGACGGGTACAGTTCAGTGTACACAGGGCTTTAGGATCAAGTTTCGGGATGCACGCGGATTGGTTTGGATTGTGATGATGCCATGGGCAACAGCATCCCAAGCCCGACGGCGCTCTCGACATTAATGTGTACGCTCTTCGCAAGAGAAAGCGCGCAAGGAAAAGGAGGAGCACACCAAGGACAAAAAGGATAAGCTTCTCATGCAAAAAAACAAAAGAGTGCATTTATCACCGGGTGATGTATGTACAGTAGCACGCCACTTCCCAACAAGTAGAGTCCATCCGGTAAAATTTTGCCTCACCGTGACGCCCACTTTTTCTTGCGCAATTTTGAGAATTGAGACGTGAAACAAAGTTGGCAATAACCGCACGACCGAGATGAATCAGAATCCGGTGTAAAAAAAAATAAACGGTGAAAATGGCCGTTTTGGGGAAAAAATTACCCCGAATTACCCCGCAGCAGACATATTACCCGGAATTGCCCCGAAACGTATTGCAATTTCCCGAAACGCCACACCATGCATTCTGGAGGAACATATCTAGCCCCGTCGACTATCCGGGCTTGCTTGTCCCTCGCTCTCAGCACTCTCTCCGCAACAGCGAAAACGCAACACTTATTTCAGACAGAAAAAATGTAGATACTTGCCGACACCCCCGATCCTCCCCGCCATGATCTAGTCTATTCATCCAATCTAAATGGAGCCAAGTTCAAAACATGAAAATATCTACTATTCGCGGCGGCTGGTGCTGCTGCTGTGGTCCTCTACGTCTCCTTCATAACATGTATGCATGTGTCGTTGTCACGTTGTCACGTTGTGGTGGCATGTCCGCAGCGAGTAGTTCTGGATGTGGCAGTCTCATCGCGCCGAACCGGCCAGCAACTGTTCTTGTTTGGAAGCTGCCGCGCTTCTTTGGTCTGCCGGGAGGACGCCCAGCCATGTCTGGGCTTGTGTGGGCCCTTGTGAGGGCATGGGGTACTGCTGTAAGATGTGGAGGATGGTGTGTCTGTCGTGTGGTCATGCGTGTTGTGTGAACACACAAAACTTGGGACGGGACATTTCTCTCCAAAAAAACATTTTTGGAAAAAAAGAAAAAACCTTGTCATGGCTGCAGGTCCAATTCGTCCGAATCCGTTGAGTGTTTCGAATACTATCGGTGCATATCTCCCCGGAAAACGGGATCCTGAGTTCATCAGGATTGCGCTTTTGTGCCCATTTCTCCGTGGCATATCAGCGAAGAAAAACTGAGTTGGGTCGTTCGCAGCTCCTCGACGTCATACGCGCAAAACCGGTCTACAAAAAAAATCAGACCCCACACTCGACCAAATAAAACCATTCAAATTCTTGCGAAATCTCGACAAAGTCGTGACTTTCTCGCCAACCAAAAATAAATAAATATATGTTCCGATCAAACGATCCCCCTGAACCAGAGCTTTCTTACGATATAAAGTATATATCTGGGGGGTACGTCACTCGGAAATTTTTCCAGAGTGATCCTGGGAGATGGTGGCAAAATTTAACCGGATGGACTACAGCACAAAACATGACCAACAACGACTTTACGGCAAAAGGCGCCAAACAACGAACGGAGGCAGGTGCAGGTGCGAGATTGTGACTGTACAGCCAATAACTCGGAAGAAAACATTAAAAGGCAAGCAACAGACTCACCTGAAAGTGCCAGAAGTCGCGGATGCGGCTGATGCCCACACAGATCGAGATCAAGATGGGACAGATAGATAGGTACGCCTGTCACCGTTTTGGGAGAGGGAAGCGGTACAAGTAGCCGGGATTATTAACGCCTCCGTTTCAAGCCGTCTTGCATCTTGACCAAGGTACACAGGGCTTACACAACACTACTGGAGCGGTGGTGAAGCACGACTTTTCAATCCTTGCAGGCCGACCGGAACAACCACTACAAAGGAGCGGGTGTAGGGGGGATACTTCACTTCTTCTCTCTGTTGCCATCCACGGACGATTTTCTTGCTGTTGTTGCCATTTCACGAGCAGCCCGGACAACAAGTGGTGCAGGTGAGGGTGGGCAGTTCTGGATATTCTTTTTGTAGGCGTCTACGAACGCAGCGGTTCAACAAGATTGCCCGGTGCCGTGGCCTTAGGAGCGAGGCAAGGGTAGCCGAGAGCGAGAAAATTCATTGGTCTACGTGAGGAAGAAGTGTAATATGGAACGGCGGTATGACCCTTAGCGGTTTGATGATCGACACTCAGCACCGTGTACCATGACCACAAGAAACATGGAAGGTCTTTGTGCGATCGTATGTAGTAGTACGTGGTATATACTCTAAGAAACGTGACACTCAGCGGATACAACAGCCAACCAATAAAGTAATTCGAACGGAGCCATCTCACCAAGAGGGATCTTCTCCAGCCCTTGTATTCCGCCGCAGAGCGAGAGAGGTCGCCCCAGCAAACGAGCGTGATGTAGAACATACCCGCCATCGACATGGAAGAATGGCCAGAGGGGAAGCTTCTGATGCTCTTGGCCTGCACACGTACGGATACACGGGAGGGGGCGAGAGNAAAAACTGAGTTGGGTCGTTCGCAGCTCCTCGACGTCATACGCGCAAAACCGGTCTACAAAAAAAATCAGACCCCACACTCGACCAAATAAAACCATTCAAATTCTTGCGAAATCTCGACAAAGTCGTGACTTTCTCGCCAACCAAAAATAAATAAATATATGTTCCGATCAAACGATCCCCCTGAACCAGAGCTTTCTTACGATATAAAGTATATATCTGGGGGGTACGTCACTCGGAAATTTTTCCAGAGTGATCCTGGGAGATGGTGGCAAAATTTAACCGGATGGACTACAGCACAAAACATGACCAACAACGACTTTACGGCAAAAGGCGCCAAACAACGAACGGAGGCAGGTGCAGGTGCGAGATTGTGACTGTACAGCCAATAACTCGGAAGAAAACATTAAAAGGCAAGCAACAGACTCACCTGAAAGTGCCAGAAGTCGCGGATGCGGCTGATGCCCACACAGATCGAGATCAAGATGGGACAGATAGATAGGTACGCCTGTCACCGTTTTGGGAGAGGGAAGCGGTACAAGTAGCCGGGATTATTAACGCCTCCGTTTCAAGCCGTCTTGCATCTTGACCAAGGTACACAGGGCTTACACAACACTACTGGAGCGGTGGTGAAGCACGACTTTTCAATCCTTGCAGGCCGACCGGAACAACCACTACAAAGGAGCGGGTGTAGGGGGGATACTTCACTTCTTCTCTCTGTTGCCATCCACGGACGATTTTCTTGCTGTTGTTGCCATTTCACGAGCAGCCCGGACAACAAGTGGTGCAGGTGAGGGTGGGCAGTTCTGGATATTCTTTTTGTAGGCGTCTACGAACGCAGCGGTTCAACAAGATTGCCCGGTGCCGTGGCCTTAGGAGCGAGGCAAGGGTAGCCGAGAGCGAGAAAATTCATTGGTCTACGTGAGGAAGAAGTGTAATATGGAACGGCGGTATGACCCTTAGCGGTTTGATGATCGACACTCAGCACCGTGTACCATGACCACAAGAAACATGGAAGGTCTTTGTGCGATCGTATGTAGTAGTACGTGGTATATACTCTAAGAAACGTGACACTCAGCGGATACAACAGCCAACCAATAAAGTAATTCGAACGGAGCCATCTCACCAAGAGGGATCTTCTCCAGCCCTTGTATTCCGCCGCAGAGCGAGAGAGGTCGCCCCAGCAAACGAGCGTGATGTAGAACATACCCGCCATCGACATGGAAGAATGGCCAGAGGGGAAGCTTCTGATGCTCTTGGCCTGCACACGTACGGATACACGGGAGGGGGCGAGAGGGGGCCAACACAACGAGAGAGAGGGGTGGGGGGGGGGGGGGGGGGGGGCGAAGAGATGGCACAACGTCAAAACAGACCTCGCGTGGAGACGAACAACACAATTATACATAAATGTAACTGTCGGAGAAAACAGCTGCAACAATCTCAAATCCAGCCAACCACAACAACTCCCACATACCGGTGGACCTCACCTGTAAAGACATCATGTTGCTACCGCCGTACTCCACCAGGGCCCTGAGGGCGGCATAATTTGGGCGAGGCCTCCCGACCATGACCTTGATGGCGTCCGTGAGAGCAACAGAAAGCCCCAGGCAGAACACGAGGCCGAGGATTACGTCGGCCAGGCTCGCCGCTCCTCTGTGCAGCCCGACTGTTGGGACGAAGAATAACGCGGCGGGACTTGTAGTGTTTCGCGTCTTACGGGAGGGGGGGG